GGATAGCCGTCTGGCGGCGCGGCGCCAAAGTCGAGCCGGCCGTCGGCGTCTTGGCTCGCACAGCGCATGCGGCCACTCAAGAGGAAGAGGCCCCAGCTGCAGCGCGCCGCCGTGTCGCACACGCCGACCCAGAGGCCGTTGCCGTCGTTGCTTCGCGAGTGGTCGACGCGAACGGCCCATGTCGAGGCGCCGGTCCTCGGCAGCAGCCCGCCCGTGGCCCACAGCTCGACATCGGCGCTCCGGCCGACGACGGTGATCGTGCGCCCGTGGTTGCTCACCCGCCACCTCCAGTCGTCGCTAACCCGCCAGCGCAAACGTCTCGCCTCCGCCAGCTCCCGCACCGAGCCGCATTTGTTCCGGACGCCGCTGCAGACGCAGCGAAGGCGGAGCACGTCGCGAGGGCTGTTGGAGAGGGCAAAACGGCCCACGAGATCCACCACCTCGTCCGGCAGGTCCTCGAGCGTCGGCGGCGGCGCCGTGGCGCCGCCGGCGAGGTCAGAGGCGAAAAGGGAGCTACACATCGGGGCAAAAAAGAATTTTATGTTTCGGCCGCACGACACGATCCCCGCAAGACATCAAGGGCGAGGACACGCACAGGACGCACCTCTAGTGAGGCCCGCATAGTAATGTGGGTGACTCCTGCCGCCGCCCCTGCCACCCCTGTGTCAGTGTGCCTGTGGTAGTGAGAGACTGCCAGCGGGAAGCTGGAGGCAGGTCGCTAGACTGAGATGAGACCGCCAGTGGAGTTGGGAGCCCACCGTGCACCGCGCTGCGAGCCTGTCGTGTCCCTTGTAGGTAGGTAGGTAGAAAGGTGAAGAACAGCCAGGCTCGGACTGGAGTCTGGACACCAACGCGGTATGGGTGGACGCTGGACAGATGATGACGACACGCACGAGCGACACACAGACACAAACAGGCTCACAAGACACACAGCCATCTGGCTGCCACACACCCTGAGTCGGCGTACAGGTGCAATGTCTCTGCTCCAGCCAAGATCACCCTCCGAACCTAACCTGACCCGCCATCCTCCCAGCGCCCGTGTCCCAACCGCCGCGGTTTAGTCGCCGCTTCGTTGCGCGTCCAAGCGCCCAAGTCCCTCCGTTAGGTGCGATACTCCTACCTGCTCGAGAAGTCGCTCTCTGTCTCCAAGCCGATGCTCTTCACCGGCCACTCGGGCGTTGGCAAGTCGGCGGTGATATCCAACCTCATCAGCCGGCTCGTCGACGGCGGGGCGTGGGCTTCGCTTCCCATCTCCTTCTCCGCGCAGACCTCCGCACGCCGCACGCAGGAGTCGATCGAGTCGAAGCTCGACAAGAGGAAGAAGACGCTTCTCGGGCCGCCGCCGGGCAAGCGGATGGTGATGTTTGTCGACGACGTGAACATGCCGACCCTCGAGACGTACGGCGCGGCGCCGCCCGTTGAGCTCCTCCGGCAGTTCCTTGACCAGGGTGGCTTCTACGACCGCCAAAAGCTGTTTTGGAAGGCCGTCTCTGACGTTGTCGAGGTGGCGGCGTGCGGCCCGCCCGGAGGCGGCCGCAACCCGCTCACCCCGCGCTACGTGCGCCACCACACCGTGATGGTGATGCCCCAGCCGTCAGCGGAGGCGATGCGGCGCATCTTCTCCTCCATCGTCGGTGGCCACCTTGCACTCAACGGGCAGGCAGAGATTGTGAGCCTGACAAAGCCGATCATCGAGTCGACCGTCGACCTCTACCAGACGGTGCTGCGCGACCTCAAGCCCATCCCCGCGAAGGCGCACTACACCTTCAACCTGCGCGACGTGTCCAAGGTGGTGCAGGGCCTACTGATGGTGCAGGCGGCGCATATCCCGTCCGCCGACGTGCTCATCCGGCTGTGGTGCCACGAGGTGACGCGCGTGTTTGCGGACCGCTTCATCGACGACACTGACCGCAGCTACTTCAAGGGCCTGGTCGCCGAGTACTGCAAGCTGCAGTTCAAGCAGAGCTGGACCACAGAGGACATCTTCGACGGCGAGAATAAGCTGATCTTTGCTGACTACACCAAGCCGGGCACGCCCCGCGAGGAGCGGAAGTACGAGCTCGTGGCCGACGTGAGCAAGCTGGGCCCGCTCTTCGACTCGTACCTCGAGCCGCCAAAGGGGCTGCGCGCCAACCTCAAGGGCACGTGGGCCACCGTGACCGACAAGCAGTGGGACGGCTGCAGCAAGCCGCTCGAGTGGCGCAAGCTGCTCTTCGGGGTCGCCTTCTTCCACGCCGTTGTGCAGGAGCGGCGCAAGTTCGGGCCGCTTGGCTGGAACATCCGTTACGAGTTCAACGGTACCGACCTCGAGATGTCGATGGAGACGTTGCGAATGTTCCTCGACGAGCAGGAGGTGATTCCGTGGGCCGCGCTACTCTACGTGACTGGCCAGATCAACTACGGCGGCCGCGTCACCGACGACTGGGACCGGCGCAACCTGATGGTGGCCCTCCGCCGCTTCTACCGGCCCGAGGTGCTCGAGGACGGCTTCCCCTTCGCGCCGGCGGGCACGACCGCCGCCTCGACGTACTACTCGATCGCCGAGGGCGGCCTACAGGCCGTGCGCGACTGGGTGGACGGCCTACCCTACGACGACCCGGTGACGGTCTTTGGGCTGCACCCGAACGCCAAGATCACCTTCGAGCGGCAAGAGACGGACAAGCTGCTCGCAACGGTGACGGCGATCCAGCCGCGCCTCGGCGGAGGCGGTGACGGCCTGTCGGAGGAGGAAACCGTCGTCGCCCTCGCCGAGAAGCTCAAGGCCGAGGTGCCCGAGCTGCTACTCGAGGAGAATGCGGGCGCCGGTACCTTTGCGCTCAACGAAAAGGGCGAGCTCAACTCGCTGCAGATCGTGCTGCTGGCCGAGATGGGCCGCTTCAACAAGCTGCTCCGGCGCGTCTCGGGCTCGCTCGCCGACCTCGGCAAGGCCATCAAGGGCCTCATCACCATGTCGGCCGACCTCGACGCGATGTACGGCGCGATGCTCAAGAATCAGGTGCCGCTGCTGTGGGCAAAGGTGTCCTACCCGTCGCTCAAGCCGCTCTCGTCGTGGTTCAAGGACCTGCAGGAGCGCGTCCGCTTCATGCGCGGCTGGCTCGCCGCCGGTGTCTCCGGCATGACGTGCTACTCGCTCCCCGCCTTCTTCTTCCCGCAGGGCTTCATGACTGGCATCCTGCAGATGCACGCACGCCGCTATTCCATCCCGATCGACTCGCTCTCCTTCTCGTACGAGATCCGAACAGAGGAGACGGCTGCCGCGTGCGCTGCCCCGCCTGAGGACGGCGTCTACATCGACGGCTTCTTCCTCGACGGCGCGCGGTGGGACCGCGAGAAGCGGCAGCTCGCCGACTCGAGGCCGACCGTCATGTACGACACGCTGCCCGTCATCCACTTTGTGCCGACGCCGCACTTTGAGCGCAGCGAGAAGGACTACGAGTGCCCGCTGTACAAGACGGCCGTCCGGGCTGGAGTGCTCTCCACCACCGGGCAGTCGACCAACTTTGTGGTCGCCGTCGACATGCCCACCGACCGAGACCCAGACTACTGGGTGGCGATGGGGACCGCAATGCTGTGCGCGCTCGCGAGCTGAGAGCGGCGTGTGATAATGTGAGTGTGCTCGCGCTATGTATGTGGGGAGGGGACAAAAATACCATCTTGCCCGTCGCGAGTTTAGGAAGGATAAATAGAGCAGTCATCTCCAGGAGAGATGGGCGACGCACGAACCCCGCCCCGCTCACAGGGCGTGCATCACACAGGCGTGGACTGTGTGACTCCTCGGGTTTCTGGGACAGAGGTGCGCTAGTCGCTACAGGACGGCTCCGGCACGTCTGATAGGCAGTTCGGGCTTAGGAAGGAGTTCTACGATGGAATACTTTTGCAGCTCGTTGGCGATTCTAATGAGCTGGGCCGTCGCTGTCCTGGGCCTTTTGTTGGGTCCGCCGGCCCGGCAGAACCATGCGGATAGAAGATCTCCGCCCGTAGCCATGAACAATCCACTGGCACGATTCAACCCGTTCAACCCGTCGCCGAATGAGCCAGAGTCGGCTCTCACGAACGGCATCGACGAGCTTCTCAAGGACGCCCCGCTGCCTGTCAAGGTGCTCGGTGGTCTCGTCAAGCCGCTGATCGCCGGGCTCGGGGCCGCACTGCAAGAGAGCCAGGCCCAGGGCGAGTCGCTGCTGCAGGAGGCGCAGGGGGCCCTGCGCGCGGACTCACGGGTGGCATTGCTGCTCGGCGGCGACGTCGTGGTCGGCGCTACCTTCTCGCAGTCTTCGAGCAACGTGAACGGCGCTGTTAGTCTGGCGCTGCAGTGCCAGCTCTCAGGGAAAAAGGGGGAAGGGGTGGTCTCCATCCGCGGCCAGGGTGGCAACGGAGATGTGTATGTCACATCTCTGGTGGTGCAGGCGAATGGGCAACAGTTCGAGGTCCCGACGCTGCGCGGCGGCGGTGGCGGAGATGTTAGTGGAGGAGCAGGTGGCAGCGGTGTCATCGACATCGAGGTTGTTCAGTGAAGAGTCCGACCCGGTCTCTCGGCACTCGGCTCTCTCGCTCGCGCACCTTGGAAACCCTGCTCCCTGGTTGTGCGGGGTTTTGAGCCTCGCCCCTCTGTATATAAGAGATCTGAATAATAGAGATAGAGGGAGAGCCAAAAATGTAAACGTCGAGCGGCATGTGTCCGAGATCGGCTCTGCGTAAAGTCTAAAGACAGAGAGACGCGCCGTTGGAGACCCCTGCAAGACCTCAAGACCACGCTCTACCCGAGGAAGCCGCCATCGCCGCCGCCACCCATCTGCGCCTGCGCCTTAGCCCTCGACGCCCACGTCTGCGAGACGATCGCCATCGCGTCGAGATACCTGCGCACCCATCGGGCGGGCGCGTCGGCTGGGCTGGGCTGCGTCGACGCCGACGGGACTGACGCGCCTGTCCATGCACTTTGCGGTGCAAATCTTCTCGGAGTCGTCCAGCTTGGGCCCGGGCCGGGTGACGCACTTGGTGAAGCACTTGCTCGTGATCACCTGCCACGCCGCGTGGGTCAGCCCACCGCCACGTCCGGCCGAGCGCCCAGCGCCCAATCGGCGGCGCACACCTGCATTACCTCCTGGATGTACTGCGCCGCCATCTGTCCCTGGACCTGCATCTTGGCGCTGTTGATGTCACCGTCGTCCATGCTGGATCAAGAGAGCGGGCAGGGGAGCGGGCAGGGGCGACGAGAGTACGATCGCGTCTGGAGTGGAAGGAAGAAAAGCTCGCCTCACAACACTTCCCCTG